AGAAACAATCAGAATAAAATTTAGTTACATCTATTTACTTTAACAGTAAAACGATTAAACCTAGTTGCCAAACTAGTAGTACACTTAAATTTATGTGGTTGAGATTACCAAGGATGAAAGCTCATCAGAACAATTGCCATGAAAATTTTTATAAAAAAGACAGAAGCCAGGTCACAGTGATGGAAAATTGACTGCAGTTCAGATACCAGGTCAGGACCAATAACATTAACAGGACCCTTCCTTGGATTTTATCAAGAATATTAAAGTACATATTAAGAACTCCTCAGCTGGATTAGTAATTAATTTTTATTTGAAAATATATTTTAGAAGATCTATGACATTGCTATTCTTTTGCCATCTTTATTACTTTGTCCAATGGCTATGGACAAAGGCAACAAAAATTTACCAAAAATAAGGGATGTGAAGCTAGTTTAATGGCTATCACTGCAGAATTGATTTGCTTTTTACAGCTTATCAACTCTTTATGGGTTTATCATTGCCAAAAGTGAAATTAGTGAGCCAAGTTCAAATTCCAGTCAACTCTGTTTTGTTCACTTCACACTAATGTCCTAGGAAAAGGCACAAATCAATCTTATGAGTTAAATAGGGTAGACCAGCCTTTCCTGCTTGAGTGGTAACCAGTCTAGGAGAAGGAACAGCCTGGGAAGGAACTGGCTGTGTCAGGCTATTTTATTGAAAATATAGCATTGCTGTTATATAGCTGTGGTACATGTAGTGCCCCTATAACCCTTATGGGTTATGGGATGCATGATGTGACATGACGAAAAATAAAAAATCATTATTCAATATTATTATATTAGTTAATATAGTTGGATTACAGTAAGTCACCATTTATACAGATCATGAAATGCAGAGGTTCCAAAACAATGGGTATATCAACAGTAATCAAACCCAGTATTAGTTTAGTAGTTTTTCACCTAATACAAGGCCTAAGAGCCACTGAAGGTAGAGGGTTACAGAATGAGGTTTTTGTATGAGTGTAAGATGAAGTAATTTGAAAACATTTGAGGAAGTAACATTGTAATGATTTGAAAAGTATCCCCTTGAGAGTGTTCCACAAAGTAGCAGTTCTTGGGAAGAGGCTGTTTGAATAGAAATTCCTTCTTACTAATGAATATGAAGAGAATGGGGATGATTTATCCCAGTGTACATGATACAGTGGGTCTTAGCTGTAAGAGTCAGAACTGGTAAAAGTAAAATATGTAGCTTGTCAGAACATTTGCCATGGAAATTGTTATAGAGTAGTGATAAGGCTTGCAACTTTTCATCTGTGGAATAGAGGCTGTAGGGTGGAAAATAATTCATCAGCCACAAGGCCATGAAAACACTTTCGAAATCTATCAAGACAGAAAAGTGAGAAATGGGCAGCTCCAGCCCAGATATGGCCAATAGGTATTCAAGACAAGGAGCCTCATTAAGAGAACAACCACTCATTATGATAACCAAAAATTTAGAGTCTGCTTGGAGATGAGACATTACAGTTTGATTTAGTAGGTGCTGAATGTTACAAGTCAGGTTACCAATTTGGGCTGTTATTTCTAGGTCAGAGGAGAGATCACCTGCCAGTCTCTGGTCATCTAGATTTTTGGAGGTGCACCTATACACTGTTGTATCATCTGCCCTGATATTTACTAAAGATCCAAGTTTATTTTGGGGCAGAAAGAGAAAATGACCAAGAAGAGAATCTATGTCAAAATACCTGGTGATAGGATAGAAAGCGGTGTATTGCTGTAAAGTAGATCCAAGTAACAGAAAAAAAAAAAATTCACTTTTCCATGACACTTTTTGCCACTTTAAAAGAAACAATGACATACAAAAAGAGAGCCATCTGAAATTATGTAGAATTGTTCACATTTAAAATTATGAATAAATTGAGTGCAAGATTACATGGGGGAAATGTTGAGTAGTAAGACTGTGTTGCACCAATCTTCAAAATAGAGATAGCTTGTCTAACTTCTTTTTCTTTAAATCAACCTCTGAAATCCTGGGTTTGAAACCTAACCACTAGTGCTATCAACAATCTAACAGCAAGGTGAAGTATTGAACAAAGTCTGGCACAGGCCTATAATATGGAGCACTAAGCTATAGTTTGCATTCAGTAGCATAATGGTTAGTAGTTTGAAAAAGAGAAATCGGTGAGCTGAGTTTGAATTCCAGTCAAGTTCATTCACTTTTGCACAAATACCCTTGGAAAAGGCATGAATCCGTATCTTCTCATGAGTTAAAGAGCAGGCTTTGGTTGGAAATCAGTGATTCAAAATCCTTCATTCCCCAGCAGACTGTGCCAGTTGTAGGGATATTTTGACCTGTAAAATTGCATAATGACTGAAATTCGAAAGTCACATGAGTTGTGCAATCCACCAGGGGTGGAGACAGCATCTACTTGCTTCTGGTAGATTATTTTTATAACTTTTTAATTGAAGTATAAAATATAATTTATCTATACTAAAAAAAAAAAAACAAGCAATGTTTTTATTGTACTGAACTTTTTCTGCATTCTCTTATTCATGTTCAATATTTCCTGAATATAAAACTAAGCAAAACATTCTATTCACCATTAAATATAATTATCATTTCTGGGTCATTACAAGAATAATGAGAATTTGTGATTGAAGAAACATGTTACACATGAATAAATAATTATATATATGGATCATTATACAACTCTCTTGTTACAAGTTATTTTATAATCTAAGGTTCCATTTAATGCCAAGCAATTCAATAAATTTAAATTTGCTTCTCAATTACAGCTTCCTGCAGCAAAGAGACAAACATAACTAAAGATTTTTTTTAAATCAGTAAAAGTAAAAATATGCAAAAAAATAATAAATAAACAAAAGAAATAAAAAGTACAAATAGCAACCTATTTTCACTTTTCGAATGTGTTTACTGCATATAGTGTCAAGTAATGCCTTGTCACTATGACAGTAGAATATCCTTACTTTTTTTTTTTTTTTTTGGAAGAACATCTTGGTTAAATTGAGAACTTTTAAGTACCCTACTCGAGGAGTGTGAATTAGTCTCAAACTAACAGAGAATAATGCACTTTTTGTAGTTTTAATAATAGTGTCATAATGTCTCTAAAACAAAAAATTATTAAATCAAGTTTATTCCATGAGTCTATTGTTTTTTTTTTTTAGTAGAAAATTTTAACCACTATATGTGTTTATCTTCAAAAAGAGTAGTTTTTATCTGTTAATCCTTGACGGTCACCTTGGCTTTTGAAAGTGGTCATTCAATTAGAACAACAGATTAGCTGAAAGCTACATGTTGAAATTGAAATTGAAAATAGTTGAGTCAATTTGAGGAAAAAAGTGTAAATCTAGAGAATTTACCTACAATCATTCAAATGCTGTGTACCTACTCTAGTACAAGGGTTACAGACCAATTTGACAGTATGGAGAGTTCAATCCTCACTAGGGGATCCATTTTTTTATGGTTTTGTGTATGAGAATATGACAAGTAAAGGCTACTTGTACAACAATGTCTGACAGTCTCTTGCATATGAAGTGAAATCTTCCAGGACTTGAAAGATTTATAAAGTGCATTTTGTTAGAATAAAAACAAAAATGTTTTGTTTTTTTTTTTGAATTTCAGTTTCTGGCTTACGAAAATCTCAGAAAATAATATTTTCATTTTATAAAAATAATCAAAATATCACTCACTCTTATTACAGATTAAAATAATTTTGTCTGACTTTTCTCCTACCTGCCTAGTTCAACATATGACCCCCCCCCCACCTAGTCTAATGTGGGACTTTTCCCCTACGTAATCTAACATGACTGGAATTTCTTATAACCTGGATCTTTGACTGCCTCACAGCAGTTTTCTTGTGCCAGACAACCTTAAATAATTATTGAGTCTTTAAAACTAAGACTCTTTTTTTGTTATTCATCTCCCTGAGCATTTTTCTCTATCTGCACCTAATAACTGGATTTCAGTTCTATCATCTCTCTCACTCATGTAGTCAGAATTTAGGGAACCGGCCATCCATCAAACATTCTATTTATTTTTCTTTTTATAACAGAGTTGAGCCAGGGCAAACATTTTTTAGGCTTTTTTCAGTGAATCTTTTTAAAAAGGTCATATTTTGTTTAAAAATTGTTTTATTTGGATTTTTCTTCCCATGCAGCTTGTGACAGATTGTAAATCAGTCCTTTAATAAATATTCAATTTTATTTATTTATTTTTTCAAAGTTTTGTATGTTTTTCCCCCCCATCAATCATCAGCAATTTTTTGTTTTGTCAGATGTTTTATGTGCTGCCAATGTTTCTTTTGCAAGCTGGAAAAAAAAAAATAGGCGTCAAGTCTTTAACAGATTAGGCATTGAAAATGTAATTTCACATTAAAGAGGTTGCTACACATCCCTGTTGACAACAAGCCTGAAATGTATTATTTTTCTGATATCTGTTTTGTTTTTGTACCAACATGGATACAGACAAGTAAAATCTATAAAAGATAAAAAAATATCTAAAATTTTCCACTTTTTTTCTAATCCTATTTTAAAATGGTAGAGAATTGTCCAAATGCTTTAGTCAGGGGGGGGGGTGACCTTATCACAAGCTACTTTGATTTTTTTTATCATTGACATTTAATTACATACATCTTCTATATATAGTTCTATAGTAATTTGTGTGTATGTGTCTCTGACAGAATATAAAATAAAGAACTAATAGAAAAACTAAGGTAATCAACTTGCCAATAAAGGCAAATCATTGAAGCATTTGTTATTCAATGTCTTTAGTAACTGCCAGAATAGAAGAAAAAAAATGGAAGAGGAATAAAATAAAAATAAATAAAATACAGTTGTTGTGCAAGAGATAAAAATGTGTCAGTTGAGTAGACATTGGTTGACAAATTTTGAATACAGAAAGAAGAAAGCAACCACTGTGTTGGGGTGGGGGTACAGCTGGTGATTTTATTAATTTATTTGACTTGTAAGCTTACTTCATGTAGCTCCTGGTTAATAAAGAAAAAATTACATTGTCTTACACATGAGGGGAGGAAGAGAAATGGAAAGAGGGATGAGAGAGGCGTGAGAGAAAGTGGCAAAAATGGTGGAAAAATGAAAGAAATGGAAAATGATGAGAGGAGAGAAAGGGAGGGAGAAAAGGGAGAGAGGAAGAGAAGAAGGGAGAGAAAGGAGAGAGAGAAAGGGAGGGAGAGGAGAGAGGGGAGGAGAGGAGAGAGGGAGGGAGGAGAGGAGGAGGGAGGAGAGGGAGGAGAGGGGAGGGAGGGGAGAGAGGAGGGAGGAGGGAGGGAGAGGGAGAGGGAGGAGAGGGGGAGGAGAGGGAGGGAGAGGAGAGGAGGAGAGGGGAGAGGGGAGGAGAGGGAGAGGGAGGAGAGAGAGGGAGGAGAGGGGAGAGGGAGGGAGAGGGAGAGAGAGGAGAGGGGAGAGGGGAGGAGAGGAGAGGGAGGAGAGAGAGAGGGAGAGAGAGGAGAGGGAGGAGAGGAGAGGGAGGGAGAGGAGAGGGGGGGGAGAGGGGAGGGAGGAGAGGGAGAGGAGAGGAGGGGAGAGGGAGGAGAGGAGGGAGGGGAGGAGAGGGAGAGGAGGAGAGGAGAGGAGGAGAGGAGGAGAGAAAGGAGGAAAGAGAGGAGAGAAAAGAAGGGAGAGAGGAGAGAAAGAAGGGAGAGAGGAGAGAAAGAAGGGAGAGAGGAGAGAAAGAAGGGAGAGAGGAGAGAAAGAAGGGAGAGAGGAGAGAAAGAAGGGAGAGAGAAAAAAACAAAAAACAATGTAATTTAGGAAACTTGGCCTTGTTACTTGAAAGTTAATTTAACATTTTTCACAAAGTTATTTTAATATTCTTCACTATGAAATGTTTATCCCTAAAAGCAAATGAACTAATGTTGAATTTTTACTATGCTTCCTATGCAAAAATGTAACATTTTAATTTTACTCGTTTTAATCTGATTTTTTTCTCATCTTTCTTATAACAACAAAGTTAATTTTAATAATATTTAATTATGCTTAATTTTGAACAGGCTCTTCTTCCAAGGACATTTTTTCTTTTATACTTTTTTTACAATGCAAAATTTATTTAAAAATGCTATTATTTGTTATATAAAGCAATATTTTTCGCCAACATAATGCTATTCATAGCAAATAATATAATAAAAGGATAAACTGTTAAATTTTAGTTTACCATTAAAATACACAAAATAGGAGCAAATGTGATACAAAAACGTCATAGTTAATTTCAATAAGTTTAATCAAACATTTTTAGATATTTTAAATGAGATGTACAAAATAATTAACTGATGCTAAACCACACATTTTTAAGAGTCAATTTGTTTTCTAGTTACTTCTGTAATAGCAAAAATGTATATTTATGAGAAAATAAGTTAAATAACAATAGTTACTTTATTTCTAAATAATAAAATAAAAATTTACATTCATATTTTGCTTCATGTCATATTTTAGTTTCAGAATTCATAGTTTGGATATGGTTTTTGTTTCATTAAAATTGTTATTACATCAGTAATTACTGTAATTTCCCATGTATGATACACCTTCATCCATAATATGCACACCTAAAATTGTGCTGAAAGTGTTGGAAAATGTTTCTACTCACACATAATATGCACCCCTTATTCCGTAATCAAACCCTATAAATTGCACCTCTCCAATTTCATTATGGTCAGTGTTTCCTACTCTTAAAAAAAAAAAAAAAAAAAAAAAAAAAAAATTTCGGACATAAAATAATAATATTCTAATTTAGTTTTATGATAATTCTTATTTTATGGCAATTTTTTAAAGATTTTTTATAGCTGTGCATAATATGCATCCCTGATTTTGCTTATTATTTTTTAGAAAAATGCATAAGGAATTATAGTAATTCAAAGATTAAAATGCATATAACAATTCATACATCCTTGTTAATGGGGTGGGAAGTGATGGATCTGACACTCCACCAAATTATATATTAATTCTAATAAAACCTATGTTCTATGACCCTTCAGGATGTAGGTTTTTCCACAATTTCCTGTCTTTTGCAGCTCTTAATAAATTTTGACTTTTTGTTATCTCTTCTAAACTTTGCTGTGCCCTCCATTTACACAAGTTTACTAGGTAGGTTATGCATTGTTTTCATTTGTTCCTCTTATCTTCAATCTGTCCTGTGAGTATCACATTTTCTAATCCCTCTTTATTATGTGCCCCAGAAATTTCAACTTTCTCTTCCTGATGTTAAGTAAAAGTGTCCTTATGATAAAGAAAGAATATACCAAGGTAAAGAGGATCAACTTTTCTAGTCAAATTAATTATGCTCTTAATCCAGTTTTTTTTTTTTTAATTAATAAAGCCGACTAGAGCTGTGGAATGGTGTGACTTGAGATAAGCCTCCAGTTGCACTATCACTTGGCTTTTAGTAAAGAACATCATGACTAAAATGTTTATTTCTATATGCAAGATCATTATTATTTTTATCTCTTCCAGATGATATTGCTGTCCTTATACTAATATAATGTAATGTATTTTAAAAGAATAAGATATATATAAAATTGTGTGTGTGTATATATATATATATATATATATATATATATATTATATTATATTATATTATATTATATATATATATATATGACTCCCTCATCAGTTTTTTTTAATGAGAGCCCAGCAGTTCCATTTAAAAAACAGAACTGCTAGACTCTCAAATATATTTCACATAGAGGATTTGATTCTAGTGCAGATTTGACACTATCTTTGCAGTTGTTCTAAAAGAAATGTGCTAATGAACTGGCTCCTATTTTCTCCAAACTTTACAATAAATGCCTCATGGCTTCTTGCTTACCAGCTTACTGGAAGTACTCCTCTCTAATTAATGTCTTTAAGAACTCTGGGGAACCTTCTGACCCTTCAAACTATCATTCTATTAGTTTCTCACCACATTTTTGAAAAGTACTGCTAAGAAAGATGGTTTACAGTGTCATGACAGATTCTAAAGAGAAAAATTTACATATTTATAAGTCTACCATATATACATGCTTTGAATATTGCTGTTATATATTATCTGGTGCTCCAGCTATTTATTTAGTGATTTTTTATAAAATCCAAAGAAGAATCTGCATTAATATTGGCCCTGAGCTGGCATTTTGGTTTCAGTCACTTTCCCACTGCAGTAATGTAGCTTGCCTGTATCTTTTCTATAAATACTTTCATGATAATTGTTGTGATGAACTTTCCGCTATGATACCTAATGCTTATAAATTTTTAAGTGCATTACCAGATTAGCAACAAGGTCTTCTCAATCTACAGTTGATTTGGCTAGATGTAACTAATTTCTATGTTAACAGTTTCTTTTCTTGCAAGTATCACTTGTAGAACTTCTCTACTTTCCAGCCAACTTTGATCTTCAAAAATTTAAATGCAATGTCAATCATTGTCTATGTCTTCTTGATTCCTCTTTTATTGTTCTCTTTCCTTAATAATGTTTTTCTTTTTCTTTCATACTCAGTAACCCCATGTCTTAGTGGCTTTATTACTTTGCTTGAGGTGAAATGATTTAAAAAAAAAAAAAAAAAGTCCTAGTCAACACCAAATTGATTCTCATTTCACACACCCTCCTTTCAGATTTATGGTTTCTATTTCATCAGGTTTTCCATTAATGGGCTAACACCTATCACTGAATTTGTCTATTAAGCTTTAGATAAGAATAGTGAGGCTTGGGCTATGGCTTTAGATAACTAAAAGGCATTCAAGAGGGTTTGGCATGTGAGCCTTCTCTAAAAGTTCAAGGGCTATGTTGCCACAGGCAGAATATATCACTTAATTCAACCATTCATAACAAAACATGTAATGAAATTGTATTGAACAGACATGCTTGTTCATTTCACATTGATGCAGGGTTACCTCAGAGCTCTGTCTTTGGAACTATGTTGTTTCTTATCTTCAACGACTTTTCCAATATCATCAATTCCTAATTAGGTATTTATGCTGATGACAACTATTTACTCCTGTCTTAGTTGCAAGTTTGCCAAAGTAAAACTGGCCGGTTTTCTAAAAGGACCTTCAATCAGTGATTAACTGGGGCAAGGAATGGTATGTAAATTTTAATGCCTCCAAAGCAAAACTGCTCTCAGCCTGGCTGATGCTAACCTCTAGGGAAAAAACTCTTTGTGCCATCTTAGGTACATGCTTTCCCCTGACATGAAAGCAAGTGATTATATCGAATCAATTGCAAGGTCATACTGCTAGAAAAGTTGGTTTACTGTGTTTTGTGCCAGACAATTTTTCTTGTCAGAATCCATCTGGCATATCTATAAATCTACTATTTGCCTATCCATTGAATACTGCTGCCATATCTGGTCTGGTGCTCCTGCTACACATCTTTAGATTCTTGACAAAATTCAAACAAGAGTCTGTAATATAATTGATCCCGACTTGGTATCTCAACTTCAATAACTTTCTCACTAATGTAATGTGGCTTCTGCCTTTTCTATAAATATTTTCATGACAAGTATTCATTAAAAATAATGTTTAAAGTGATAAAAAATCTGTCAGGTTAAAATAAATCTATTATATATATATATATATATATATATATATATAAATAAATGTTTGTCACTTAGCTGTTATGTTTAGATAAACTTACTATTCTATTTCATTTAATAAGAGCAAAAAAAAAAAAAAGCAACACGGCAATCATCTACTCATATTCTCAGACAATCCTCAAATTCAATTAACATCTCGTTTCTTTATAAGGAAACATTTGCTAGTCAGTGGTACTATTGGTTGAAATTTATAAAATCTTTCAGGAAATACTTTTAAGTCCATTTAAGTGTCATTGCTCTTTCCATTATTGATGGGAGCTCCCTTCCTAACCTTTTATTTGAACTCGTCTGGAGTGCCAACACCTTGATTGTGTAGTTATTTTTTTATATATATATATATATATATATATTGCGTGTGTGCATGCAAGAGAGAGACATATTGGGGTTCAGTACTACCTCCAGTTTCAGGCATCTGTAAAAGGTCTTGGATTATATCCATTTCATCCAAGAGTGAAAGAAAACTAAGAGCATGTTTTTAACTTTTTCCTTTCATTTGTAACAATATAAGTTCACACACTGGGCAATTTAAGATGAGAGACTGAGGCTAGAAAGTATTTTATCCCACTGCAAATCATTATAAAAGGAATGCATATTCTAATTAAGGCACACCAACAGACCCTTCCAACCTAGTCCCATTACCATGTCAAATGAGGCATATGGGATTGGATCATCAACAAGCAGTGGAAAATATGCCTACATTGTTCTTTATGTACTGTGTCTCCACAGAGCATAGGCAATCATGGTCTTTTACAACTTCCTATCCCTTATAGCTCTTAATAAACTGTGTCTTTTTATTATTTCTCATAAGCCCTGTTCTGCCATCCATTTATTCAAGCTCACTAATTATGTTATGTATTGTTTGCCTCGGTCCCTCTTGCCTTCTATCTGTCCCATGAGTATCAGATTTTCCAAGACCTCCTTCCTCAAATGCTCTAGAAACCTCAACTGACTCTTCCTGATGTTAAGTATTAGTTTCCTTTTTGTTACCATTTTTTCCAAAACTTCATTGTTACTCACATGTTTGATCCACACTATCCTCAGCATCCTTCTGCAGAACTACATTTCTGTTACTTCAAGTCTCCTCTACATCCCCAAGGAGATCATTCAGCACTCACTGCCATACTGGAGGACAGATATCACATAGTAGTAGTTTAGTACTCTTTTCCATGTTTCTAACAAAATTTTCCTATTTCTTATTACTCTGCTTAGCTTTTGGAATGCCTCCTTGGCTATCCCAATATGCCTTCAGATTTCAGTGTTGCTTTTTCCAACCTCTGGTAAAATACTTTCCAGATATTTAAATCTCCGTACTTATTTGATTTTGGTATCTCCAATTTGAAATGCACACTTTGGGTTCATTCTTTTGTTAACTATGAATTCTGTTTTCTTGCAGTTGATGTTTAATCCTATCTTCTCTCTTTCCTTCACTACCTTCTGTAAGAGTTTTTGTAGCTTTCTTTCTGCATCTGCTATCAAGACTGTCATCTGCATATCTTTTGTTAAGATTCTGGGCACAAACAATGAATCTTGGTAGGACTTCTATTTTTCTCAGAATCACCTCACTGTATAGGTTGAAGTATTGTGAGAAGAGACATCCTTGTCTTTCAACCCTTTTTATAAATTGATATGTTTACAGAAATCTCATTATTGAGACCCAATTTTCTGACATGGCTTCTTTTCACTCATGAACCTGAAGAAATAAATGGTTGTTCTTGTTAAGTTTTAAACATAATTACTTTATTTGGTTCCCAACACAACAGAGAAAGAGATGGACAGACCTTTAAAACCTTAAGCTAAATTCAAACAAGCTTATGTACAATTCCCATTCAGAAGTGAATGAAATGGAGCCAGATATAAATTTATAAAATGTCAATTTAATTAACCTTAATCAATGAAACTTTATACAGAAGAAAAAGTAAAACATTTTTATATAGTTTCTTTCTCCTATCAATATAACCAGGATAGTGGGCTTGGTTAGACTATAAGTAAAATAATGCAAAACTAGGAAATATAAGAAAAGATATTTTCATAGAAGATTATTAAAAGAACAGACAAACATTCTAGTGAACAAAGTCAGAATTTTAAGAAAAACATAAAATAATGAAAAGCAGCAAAGGGTGGAGAAAAAAAAGATGCAAGAGCGAAACATTCTATTTCTAGCTTTGGAGCTGAATACAGGCAATATCTTTAAAATAACTTTTGTTATAAGTATATATATCCAGACATTTGTATAAAGAAAACAAAAACAAAAAGAAAAAACAATAGGGAGAAGAGAGTATAGAGTTCAAACCCAAGTACCAACTGCTAAATCCTGGAGCCTCTTCTAGAAATAAATTACCTTGTAAAGACTCCTTAGAGAACAAGCTGTATTCATCATATGTTGTGAAAGAGAGAGAGAGGAAGAAACTTGCAAATAGCATAAACAGAATCATCATAACTGTCTTGTATTACAAAATTTTGATTTATTCTAACAAAGAATTTGGATCAGAAGACATAAAAGCAAAATAAACTGAAACTTTGTAACCAATTGAGTTACAAATTAATAAAATAAAAAAAAAATAAAAGAGCTAACTGGTATATACAAGGTGAAGTCATAAATAATTTCAGATTTTCTTTATCAATATTATTCATCCTAAAAGTAAAGTACAATTGTTTTCTTTAATTATATATTCATAATTATTTATAATGATTTGTTGCCACTTATCAGACAGTGGTTTGATAGACTGAATAAAATTTTGCAGGTTTTGGTGTGAAAAAGTTTTCAACAAACTCTTGAATCTGGTTTTCAATAGAAAAGCTTTCCGCATCAAAGTGTTTTGTAGTTAATGAAATAGGTAATAATCTATTGATGCAAGATTAGGTCAACATGGCAGTTGGGGTAGAACAAAACAATCAAGTTCCAAGATTTTTTCCTGTGTTATTCTTTTTGTGGTCTTACATTGTCAGGGAGGAAAAGAACAATATTTTTCCTTTAATCCACTGTGTATGCTGCCACTACCATGCAAAAGCTAAGGTATACTTCAAGTAAGACTGGTAATTAGATTAGATACATTCATCATTACAACTGGTTCCCAAAAATGACAATTACTTATGACTCAACAATCTGATATTATCTCTCAATGTTAGCCAAATATAACTTGTTCAAATGTGTGGCATGATATTTTGAGTAGGGATGACCTACCTTGACAATAAGCCTTTGAAGTGATTTTGATTTCAGCAATGGTTGGCAATAACTATGTTTTTAGCAAACAAATTCATTGGATATAAGTTACAATACCCAGGCAGAAAATATCAGAAGGTACAGTAACGGTATGGGATAGGCGTCTGTATGGCAACAGTTGTTGAAACACACACACAAGTGGAAAGTGGGGCTGAACAGATCTTCTATGTCTTGCATATGGTTTATTATTTATTCTATCATTGGCATGAGAAAATCAAAAACTATGTAGAAAGGGAATATCAACTTTGGATCTAGAAGTATTGCTAGATCCTTTCCTTAACAACTTGAATTAGTTTCTCAGGCAAGTAAAGAGGAATCACAGGAAACTGCTCACAAGAAATTAATTCTATATTACACATTAGGTACAACAAAAAAATTGGGGGAACTTAAGGCCTGAGACTTCATTTTCTGGTGAAGCAATTTTGAAAGATTATGCAAAATATCCAGTTAGATACAGGATTGTTCCACTTCCCAAATTAATCTATTTAAAATATCAACGTGCTAAAACATTTTCTCCCCATCTCCAGGGGAAGAAAAAAAAAAAAAAGATTCAATTTGGGGTGAAAACTTTTTAATAATCCCTTGTATGTAGCTAAGAATGAAAATACCTAACCACATGCAGACATTTCTTCAGTCCTCGTATCATATAATAATCAAGTGAAACTTCATTATATTAAAAAAAAAAAAAAAGAAAAGAAAAGATTTTCAGTACTAATTATGACAGCATAACACATATATATATATATATATATATATATATATATATATATATATGTGTGTGTGTGTGTATGAAGAAAAATATATGCAAAAACAAACAAAAATCCTAATATGCAATTATGCTGTCTTAATGTTAATATAATGTCAACTTCGGACGTTTCAGTCTAGTAGACCATCTTCGAGACATATTCATAAAACATAATTAACATTAGACTATATTTAATTCAACATGAAGAGACGATGGACATAAGAGTAAGACTAATCAAAACAGATAACAAATTTCTCAAGATCAGTGTTCCATTTCAATATGATCACGTCGGTGTCACGTGGGCGATGTGAAAACGTATTCCTAAAATAGAGTATTTTGAATGAAAAATGAAAAAGAATTTTATTTTAATCTAAAATTTATATGTATGTTTGTCGAGCATTAATCTTGCTAGAAAAGGGGAAATATTAAATCTCATGCAACAACTGTGACTTAAAATATGTGGGTGAAACATGTAGGTCCGTAAAATCTTGTGTTTTCAAACATAAACGAGATATTCGCCTCAGTAATTTAAACAATGCTTTATTTGTACACAGAACTAAATCTGATCATAATTTCAATTTTGATTCTGTGAAGATTTTAAAATATATTCATAATAAAAATCTTAGACGGATTTATGAGGCAGGCATAATATCTATCATGCACGGTGAATACTAGACCCAGCTTCTTTGGTGATATTTTATCCAGTTCTTATTTTAATCCTACAGGACAATAGCCTAGTGGATTTAAGTGTTGGTTCATGAATTTGGTGACATAATAATAATTCCCGAGTCAGTCAGTGTTTACTTGAACTCAGTGGAAACAGGGCAAGCAGTAACTGAGCAGTACTGAGAATAAGAACTAGACAAGATATCCCAAAATATGAGCAGTGGAACAAGAACAGTCTATCCCCAGTAGATTAAGTAATGGGTTCAATTCAGAATTTCCTGTAGGTTACCTGGATTAACATACACCTAATGAAGGTCGGAGGGTACAATGGCTGAAATGTGATAACAGCAGTGGTGGCAAGAGGTGGGGACAGCTGGCACAAATGTGCCGGGTCTTGAAACCCGAGGGTCCTCAAGAAAATACCTTTAGGGGTTTGTGGTGGGGTGGGGACTTCCTTATGAAAAGTAGAGAGCAAAATTACAAATCTGTATTTTACTGAAAAAAAATAAAATAAAAATAAAAAAAAAAAATATACAAAGACTAAAACCAATTCCAAAGCAGCTTAAAAGTGCATTTTTTGAACTTTCATTGAAGCAAAACGTGTGATGAGTTCCTCAAAGTCTAATTTTCGTGCCAAATCAGTCGATCACAAGTTGCCAAGTAAGACACACAATTTAAAAAGTTATGTAAGACATGCTAAATAAAGTTTGTTTGTCCCAGCCTCTCTTTTTCTGAACCGTGGGGTGGGGGATCTTGGAAATTCTCTCCCCGGTACTGAATAACGATGATAAAGATGAGGACAATAGCCCACATATAAACAGTATAAATAAATTTGTAACTTCATCAGGTGTATATCAACCTGGGTAACCTACAGGGAATTCTGAACTGAACCCTTTACTTAATTTATAGAGGTAGATTGTTCTCATTCTGCTGCCCAGTTAGAAATTTCCCTACCAGCGACAAAATGATAAAGTTCAAGCCCAATTTGGATAAGCAATTATCTTATCCTCCATTTTTCAAATTTAACTTTTCTACCAAGCAACTTTCTTAAATATTGAAAATGAAAACAGTTGGATTAAATTTTAAGATCACTTGTAATTTATAAACATTAAAGTTTCTTTGAAAATTAACAAAAAACCATGTTCCAATCATCAGATGTTGTACACTCGAGTTGACAAATTGTAATAAAGTGAATTGAATGATTGGTGTTATTAAATTTTGAATTTTCTTCTTAGCCTAGCTTATTTTGAAAACAGTTTCAAGTAGTAAAATTCAAAATTTAATCAGGGCTAAGTTTTCAAAAGGAGCACACACTGGCATCCCTGCTAGACATAATATGCGGACTATTTAATTATGGAATAATCTTTCAATCAATGTTCATCTTGACATCTTTAGACAGTGTTGACGTCTCAGTGTTATATTTAATGTTGAACAGCAACAGTTTAATTAATGAAATCAATTCTATCAATGCCAAGGAAATTGAAAGTCAAGATGGACACTCAACAAAATTGAGAGTTTGAGGGAAGAAAACAAATATCTAACATATTTAGTAGTACCCTCCTCAGATACAAAAACTAAGCAGTAGAGGTTCAACCAATTTGGAACTATTTTCTCATATTTCTATAAATTAATTTTAAACTATTAAAATAAATAAATTCTTAAAATTTCTCAAATTTATGAGGGAAGAGTGTTCAATGTTAGAAATTGACCATTTGTAGATAGTGTGGACCCAAAAATCAATACTGCATTGTGACTGTCAGTTTCATGTCACAATTGATCTTCACACTATATGTCACTACTTCTTACATAAATGAATTAATAAAATAAACAGACCACAAGATCAGAGCCTAAATTGGGAAGGATTGGTTTTCTTTCTTCACTTTCACATATTACCCAGTGGCAGGAGAATTAACACAGTCTGAAAGTCATTTGAAGTGTGAAACAGTCACCATGCAATGTTAATTCCTGTCCACATTGCTCTTTTATACAAATATATATATATATATAAAATACTTTTATCTATCCATTACCAAGCATATATTAAATAAAGGATTAAATTTAGCAATACAACACAAACATTCAAGACGAAGAATTAGACATAATCATTGTAGAAAATCATTATTATATGACAATAAAATATGGCTAAACAACAGAATAATAATAATAATGAAGACTGATGTATCCATGGAAAGTTATGATGGCAGATTATATGCAAATTTATAGGGATATATATCATGCATAATTTATCAAATGTCATGAATAAGAAGGATATCGGTTTATATAGAGATGATGATTTAATAACTATGAAATTGTAAAGGTAGAAAAACAGAAAATATAAGAAAACATAACAGAAATATTTAACAAATTATGATTTAAAATAGACATAAAATTTAATCTAAAAATAGTAAATTTACAAGACATAATATTTAATTTAAATAATACATACAAACCATATAGGAAAGCAAATAATTATATATATATATATATATATATATAAAAACAAAAAATCAGATCACTCACCTAATGTATTTAAGCATATACCAATATCTCTTAAAAGAATTAAAAGAGTTGCAACTAATTCTAGAAATATAAAAATATTTAAGGAAAATAAAAAAATATATGATTTAGCATTAATAAAAAGTGGTTATTTGAATAATTAGAATACATAATAATAATACATATAAAAAAGAAAAAGCAATATAATTTGGTTTAATCCACCTAAATAAAAGCAAAAATAGGAAAAAAATTTTTTTAAATTAGCTGAAAAACACTTTCCTAAAAATAGTAAG